TTCGTCACGCTCCGTACTCTCTCCACATGGCTCCGTGTGACCTTTGGCTATTTCTCAAGCTGAAAATGCCGCTAAAAGGAACCCAAATTTAGTCGAGAGAAGACATCATGCGAAATGCGACGGACCGGCTGATGGCCATTCCAAAAGATGCGTTCCAGCAGTGTTTCCAGCAATGGCAGGAACGCTGGGAGAAGTGTATATATTACCAAAGAGACTACTTTGAAGGGGATTAGGGTTTTGTACCTCAAAGTCAATAAATTTATTTTTGCCGACCAAAGGTCTGATACTTTTTGAACACACCTCGTATTCAATATAATGGTCTTCTGCAGTGTGATGTATATGTTTCTATTCAATTGTAATGTGCCCAGGTTTTTGTGTAGTATGTGTGGTATGACACCTGTAGAGGAGAGAATGATAGGTACAATAAGCACCTTATCCATCCTCCACAGATGCCTTATTTCCTGGGTGAGTTCCATGTACTTGCTGATTTTTTCAGTGCATGTATTTTGTATATTGTGAGTGTTTGAGAGAGATATGTCTATAATGTATGTGATTTTATTGTGTTTGTCAATGAATGTGATGTCTGATCTGTTGTGATAAATTGTTTTATCTGTGATTATGACTGTCATAGTACATTTTGTGCATGTTGTTTTCCAATACTGTCTATGGAATATATTTGTAGTATGATTTGTGGATGTCTAATAATTTGTTTCTTTGCAAGCTCTTGGTGTATTATATTTACTTATTATTATTATTAAACTGACAACAGTTTATTAACCACTCAGCAGTGAGCGATGAATATATTCGTCAAGAGCGATCGTGTGGCAGTGGTGAGGGACATATATATATATATTACATCAAATTCTTTTGGGGGTATTGCCAAAAACTATCCAAAAACTACTGCGAAAAAAAAATTTACATAGAAAATGAATAACAATAAAAATTCTTTTCTTTACTAGACATAACTGTTTACAAAATCTTTTTCTGAAACAGTAATGAGAAAAAAACGTGTGGAAAAATACTCTAAAAATTTTGCACGTTTATTCTCCACTACTAAGAGGTAGCACCATACTGACTATTCCACTGTTGCACGGTTAATGTACTGTTCTTTGATGTTCTGATCTACAAGTTGAAATCATTTCAAGTACAGGTGTTTATTTGTCAGCTGTTAATGGAACAGTAGTTAGAAAAGAGCACCTGTGACCACTTTCCAAACAACTGTTGTCATTTTTACTTATTTATTTCATAATTCATAAAATAACTGCTTTATTAAATCAATCATTCAATCAACTACATACAACCTTGTAAAGCAGCAAAAATGTTTATTAAAATTAATGTTTTCAATCATATTTAATGACCTTCATAATGTTTGCTTTTTGAAAATTAAACAATTTACAAAAGCTAACATAAAATAGAACAAAAACAAGGACTAAATTGTTAAATGGTTAAATTGAAAGATTGTAAAATATTTTATTTTTAATCCTTGTTTGGTGTTCTACCATTTTTTGTTCTACTTTCTGTTAGCTTTTACAAATTGTTCTATTCTTGAATAATAAATCTGACAAAAGTCATTAAAATATGATCAAAATATTTAGTTTTAATAAATATTTATGCTGCTTTACAAGGGTGTATGTAGTTGATGAGTGATCAATTTATTTTTCATTAAATTTATATAAATAGTGTAAAAAAAATAAAAATTTCATTTTATTTTGAAAGTAATGCTTAAATACTGATCATAGTAGAATCTTTTACACTTTCAATATTTAATGCTATAACCCAAACAATGCTCAGCATATATAATTGCAATAATATAATATCTCTTGTGTCACCAAATTTAAAATTATTATTTATTGTTCAATTCCAGGCATTTTGTGAGAAATTATATTGAAATTGGCATTATGTCTAAAATATTTTATATATATACTAATACTATAACTGATAATTAATGATAATGACTATTTCCTTAATATGTACAAAATCATAAATATTCAAGAAATTTTCCAGAAAAGAAGCTAGATATTTCATTTAAATGTTTTTTTTTTAATTTCAATTTATAACTACTCTGATTCAAAACAAGCATTTTTTTCCTTAAATATATTATAATTATGAAAAAATTAAGATTTCAGATAAATGACTTGAAAACTTTAAAGTGATAGCTTTTACATAATTTTAAATTAATGTATAAGATAGCCACAAAGTAGAAATATACTCTGAATTGATAAAAATGCTGTATTAATGTACAATGTTTATTGTAATGTTGAACATATCATATTCTATAATATAACAATAATGATATCAATAAACCATTTATTATGTATATTCTCCTATTTCCAGTCTTCATAGCCATCCTATGAATATAATATAAATTAAATTAAAATCCAAAAACTCGTATAATAAAAACACTGAATTTGAACTTTCATTTAAAATTAATAAGTAATTTTTTAATTCAGAATATATATATATATTTTTTAATTTAAATTGTATCTTCTGAGAAAAATTTAATATTGTATTTTTTCTCTAAATTCAGCAAAATCATAATTTTTTGATTAAAAAAAATTTCATTTTATTAAAATTAACATAATGATAATAGAAATTAAGAGATCTAATTGTACTTGCTTAGTATTTTATTTTTTAGTCATCTAATTTCATTGATAACTGATTAACATGATTATATTATTATAGTTAACAAAAACCAGATAACAATAACGTACAACTACACACCGGAGTTTACTAAATATTACGTACTTCCGAAACCTTTAACTGATGTGAATAAATTTAACATTACTAACGTTTTCAGACCCCTCCTGAGTCCTTCTTCAGGTAAAATCGTCAAAGTAACCATTCGTTTCGAAAGAATTTTCGAAACATCGAACTGTATACATTCGTTCGATGCTTTGAAAAATTCTTTCGAAAGAAATGGTTACTTTGACGATTTTACCTGAAGAAGGACCCAGGAGGGGTCTGAAAACGTTAGTAATGTTAAATTTATTCACATCGGTTAAAGGTTTCAGAGGTATGTAATACTGTATTTAAAAACCAGATAATTTCAGCACGTTATCTTGTTTAATAAAAATACAGAACAAGACATTATTATTTGATGATAACTTAACAGCAAGTCATATAAATTTTCATTTTAAATATTCTTGTTTTATAATGATAACTTAGGTAAAGGACTTATGAATTTTTGCTTTCAAATATAACTTAATATTTTATTTCTATTTACAACTGTATACATTTTAATTCATTACTGCTCAAATATTTTGAACCATTAACAGATTCTTCTTTCTTGAAGAGCTAGAAGCAAATGTGTAATCTTAACGATACTACAGCAGGAATGGCCAAACCTTGTCACAACAGGAGTCATATACCGCATATAAAAAATACAGGAGCTCTCCTATGAACATGTCAGCTTTTCCAGGTTTTGTTGTAAGTCAAAAACTAACCTAGAAAATACACTTGTATACAGAATAACCACAGATTGTTAGTGTTTGATCCATCAATCTACTTAATAAAATATGTTACACTCGTTTACCTGCTGGGTACAGTTTAGTAGTGGGTGTTTCAAATATGTTTTTTTCACCCAGTACAGTTTTATAATATCAAGATTAGTTTCCACAATAACAGAGTGACACTTCTTGCATTTATCTCCACTGCTAAATTTACTATTATGTTTTGAACACATTTTTGAAGCACTAATTGTAAAAGCTTATAAAAATTGCAAACAATAGTGAAAAACACCATTACTCCAATGTCACCTCACAAGCAACAACGGAACATCAGAATACTTGCAAAAACAGAAAATGATGATATGTAATAGAAATAAATCCACATTAATAATTTATTAAAATTTTATTTATTACTTAAAGGCTGAGTTCAAAACAACCCATGAGNAATATTTTCTAAGACGAGTATGTGTACTGGAGATAGTTGACATAACTTGATCCATTAGATCTACACTGCCCATATGATATTTGTTCTAAATGCACACAGTCTGTTTTTGTTTTTATGGTTCTCATAGTATTATCATTTGTTGAACTCATTACTAAGACATTTTTGGTGTCTTTCCACTTCAACAGCATTAGTTTATCCTTGTACAGTACCTGACTGATGTGTGTCCTTTTTTTAATTTACTCAGTATAACATCATTTGGCAACTCTTTCTTTGTTTTTTTACAGTACCAGTAACATCAGTTGAATGACACATCAAATACTTGAATAAGTATACACTACTATAATAATTGTCCATTCCCAAATGATAACCTTTATCTAATAAGTCTTCCATAAGGGAGAGGACAATATTTGTTGAGTGACATTTTTTTGATGGATTGACATCAATCAGGGTTATGGGAAATTGTATTCCTTTCCCTGTGTACATTGTGAAATTAGAAATGTATTCCATTTTAGTTTCACAAAGAAAGAAACACACTATTTTAAATCTAGCTCTCTTGAGTGGAACATACATTTTCCATCCTAGCCAACCCTTCCACAAAAGAAGACTTTTGTCTATAGATATTCTTTTAGACGGTACATATGCGCTCTTAAAACTATTTCTATATAAATCTAATAAGTCTCTAATTTTATACAGTTNCATAATTCTTACCTGATTCAAAATCAGAGAAAACCAAAACTGTTATATTATTTGTCACATCTTTTATAACAGAATTTACAACAAAAATTCTTGATACATTTCCTAATGCTTCATCTGCTTCTTCTAAATCTGATAAAGAAATTGATTTTGATAAAGCCGGTTCTACAAGTACCATATGTGACGTTACACAGTACGAAAATGTACAGTGTTCAAAGCTAAAAAAATGAATATTGAAAAATTATTAAAATTAAAAAATTGCAATTTTGTAATAAAAAAAATTATTAAATATTTTTATCAAACCTTGACTGGTTTAATTCCACATCATATTTTTGCTTTATATGCATTAATTGTGCTATTAGCTGTGGATCTGTTCCATTCACCCAAGTATACACAACATCAATTGGAACGTACTGACATAACCTATTATAAATTTATTTTAATAATTTTAATATGTAGAAAAAAATTTAAAATGCTTTTACACTACAATTTACTTAAACACATGCATTTTAAGTATTATTTATAAATATGTTTACTTATTAAATTATATTTTTGGTCATAATTTTAAAGATTGGGGTTGGTGGATAATGGGTTGGAGTCCCCCACTACGTGCAGCAATATGCACATGCGTATATACACATACACATGCATTTAAAATATCAATGTCCAATTGATATTACTGATTATTAAATTCTACATTTGGTTATGTTTATATATAGAATTTGTAATGAGGAGGATGGTAGGGATGGTACCCTCCTCACCATCTTCCTCATTCCAATCATCTACATGGACAAACATCATTAAAATGCATTATCACTGAAAGTGATATAACTTTCTATCCTGTTATAATTTCCCATAAACTCAGTACAGTAAACTGAGATTCTATTTGTTGAAAATACAGTTCAAACTATATAATACCATTCTAAGATGTTTAACAAAAAATAAAAATTTATTAAAATCTTAATTTACTAATTTAAATTTATTAATTAAATAAAATTAATTTAAATTTATTAAATTTATTTATTAATAAATAAATAAATAACATTTCATAAATCATAAAATTCATATACCAATAAATAAACAATACTGTCAAACTCATTGGACTATAAATATGGCTAATTAATTATAAAGATATTAAACAATTTGGAATACAGCTAGATGGTTAAGCTGCCAACTTGTGTTAAATAATATTCTAACTTAATTAATTTCTTTTTAATACGAACTAATTGATACTTTTAGAAAATGTCTCTATGAATAGATTACACAAAATATTTGTTTCTACTGCTATTGAAGTATTATGCTCAGCTAATCTAAAACTGCCAAAAAAATCTTTTGTGCATGCCAACTACCAGTGTTCAAATAAAACCAATGAACACTCATAGTTAGTTGTGGTTTCCAACTTGACGGGGCTGGCCATGTGAAGTTTTCACATTTGTAACACCTAAATAGAAGTCAGTTTCTCATAAAAAGTCCTTCTGGGAGGTATTCCTTCTTGGCAAATCACCCACATGTTGCATTGCTGTATACAAACAAACAGAAGGATAAAAATGTATAGTTATTCCCTTATAACACAATTAGATTCCACTAAAGTGCAGTGTTATGCAAATCTGCACTATACAAAACAAAGGACTAGTACAAGACATAGGGTTAGGTTCAAAAGTTAGCATAAGTATACAATTCTTTTTCATAATTAAGAGAAATATGTTTATTAAAGCAATCAATAATTAACTAACAATCATAATCAAAAGTAATGCACATTAATATTAATTTCTTTTTACTGCTAAACATTGTTAAATAAAGATGTTTTGTTTTTGGCAGAATATTGTCATCTTCTGAGATTACCTGTTGACCTTAATCTGAAGTATCCGCAACATCTTGATTTTTCTCTACTTTTTTCATAAAATCTGATATTTTCGTTTGCTTGCATTTGCCTATGAGATCTTTAGAATTTTAATCTTTTTGTGTAGTAACTTTTAATTTAATCCATAAAAATAAAACACAGTGAGTCTTTTGAGTTCATTTAGAGCATTACCACCAATGACAGCAACACCTGGTTTATATGAAAGCTACAATAGGAAGCTAGGACATAGAAGAAATACTTTACAATGCATTCTCACTACAGAAAATCTGGTGAAAAGTATAGAACAACATTGCCTACAGATGTTAGAATAACGAAATTTTCAAATATGAGGCAACATGCATGTTTGCTTGAATAAAAAAAAAATATCAAATGATTGTGTTTGCACTTAAAAGTTGTGATGTTTTGTACAGGAATTTCCCCAATTCTTAAATTATGTTACAGCAAACCTTGTTGTAAGAATGCAGTTTTGTATGAGTGATACTCTTATCAATTACAATCTACATATTGACATTGATGTTTTCAAATAAACTATTGCAATAAAAAAATTAAACTCCTTTATGTACATCTGAGCTTTGTCATTGAAATTTTTAATTTTTTATCGATTATAATATAAAAAGTTAACATAATCAAGGATTAAAGTATCAAAATTTTAATACTTACATATTCTGGAAACTCCTTCCTGCAATATTATCACTAAAAGAATTGAATACAGCAGCATATTTTTCTTTACTCCATTCTAATACAGTCTAAAAAAGTAAAAAATGTTAAATATTAAATTAAATTGAAAACATTAAAATAATTAAAAAATTATATGTAAATCAAAAAATAATTTTACTTAAAATATAACAATCTTTATTTATATATGTAGGGAGATCCCCACATATATACATGTAAAAATATAGATTTTTATGGCAATATTTAAAAGAATATAGGTGAGAATGATAAAAGCAAGAGCTTTTATCCCTCTCACCTATATTCTTTTAAATGGAAAACAGAAAAAAAATGGAAACCCAATAATAAATTGCTAATTCCCACACTTTTGGAAGACCTCTTACGATTCTGTTTTGGTATATTTTGAAAATGTAATGGTACAGTATCTAGGACAAGTAAGTAAAATTAATTAAAACATTTCCACAGCATCACCTTGATGATTTGGATGAAAATGGCAAACAAAACTGAAAATATCTATAATTTCATAAATCAGAAAAGCACACTAAGAATTTTCAGAACATGACTAAATTAATATAGGCAATGTTCTGTGCTTTGAATCTAAATATGAATTAGACCAGCAATTTTCAATCAGTGATACAGAAGATTTGTTAGTTCTAAAAGTCTCACAGAGAAGGCTTAGGTGATACACGAGGGAAAAAAGGTTGAGAGCTGCTGAGTTAGACATTTAATCTGCAGGGAAAGTGCAAAGTCCTGTCACCTCTGCAAAAAATTAATTGCATGTTCCATTTGTGTTTGTTTCAGATAAAAAACATGAATAATGGCTGATTCAAATAATTACACCATTAAAGAATGTATAATTGCTAGTTGTTGGGTTTACAAAAAGAATGTGGAAAGAAATAGAAGAGGTACTACACTTCCACTAGAGAATTGGATGGCAGCCTTCTCCAAAAAGAACACTTTTTGTATGAGATCATAAAATTTTATAAGTAGTGCAAAGGATAATCAAAGAAGCAGTAGACACTCCACCAGATGTGGAAAATGAAATGGTGTCAAGTCGGTATTGAGATTGCCATGAAATCAACACAGAATGTTCTATAGAACTGGGTATAACCCAAACAACTATACATAAGCTTAACTTTTGCATTACCTATGAAAATGCTTTCAATGCAAACAAACTGATCACTTGGCTGCCAAATGTGCCAAATTGTCTGCCGCTTATTCCAGCAAGACACAATCAAATAGCATCCATTAACAATATATCAAAAGTTTCTCTCATTGGAATCAGGAAAGACATGAAAATCAGTAAGAAACTCAGTGCTCTTATACATACTGAATGTAAACTGAACTTATTATGAGATGTTTATTGGGATATTGGTGCCCTCACCAACTTTGAGAAGAATGGATTTACTGCTGACAAAGTTTGGAAAAATTATGTTATTGAAAGGTCAATGACCTTTCAATTTATTGTTGTTGTTTTTTTATTTTATTTTAATTTATTTATTGTTGTCAACCATAATATATNTGAATTTTTAAGAAATTTGCGGGATTTCCCGGGATAAGAAAAATTTCCCGGATTAAAAAAACAACCGGGATCCCGCAATTCCGGTTGAGAAACACTAATTGTGAGGTTATAGCTCCTGGGAAAACTTGGTGTGACAGTTTATGGGTATCTTCCATGTGATGGCATCCCCTCATTGGGCTTCATGGTGAGTGGGATAACTAGGTACTGAAAAATTATTTCCCAATATGGATTCAATAAAACCTAAACAACCAAGAACAGATGTATCACCAGCAAAGGATGCAAGTTTTCCCAGTCATCTAACCCAGTGTTTCTCAAACGTTTTAGTCTGCGACCCCCCCTTTTGCACTTAAAAATTTCAAAGGATTCTCCTCGAAGAATGGGTGTGTGTGTAGAAAAACATTCCAGAGGGGGGTTAATTTAAATTCAGAAGGAGTTAATTTGTTTTGTTTAATTGCATTGAAACACACACAATTTTAATAGCAGATTTACTTTTAGTATCAATAAAAATTAATAACTTTGGTACATCTTTGAACAGAATATTCTATATATATGTTTCGACATTAACGTAACTAATTAGTTAAGTTAAATATATTTTAAATTAAATTTAATGTGATGTGTGAGCCTTCTTATTTTGACACAATAAATTAAACCTGGGTTTAATATCAGTCAGTGCAGGTCTCATAGTAATTTCTATGTTGCAAAGATGAGAGTGCTGCTTTGTTTTGATGTTGGTCATTACTGAAAATGCCATTTCACATAGATAAGTGGTTGCAAATGGTAATGTAAAGTACTATATTATTTTTCCGACTTTTCCAATGATTATCAACACGACTGTGTGCTGGAAATAGCCGTTACCTAACGGGTACTTTACGTGGATTCGCATTAATGTGCCAGGTCTGGACTTTAAGTGTGCACCGAATTAAATAATGACAAAGTTATTCAAAAACAATCCAATATTTAATAAAAATTCTAGTAATAACTATATACAAAATTTAGTAAAAATCAAATAACAATTTATTCAATGTAAATCAATAAGAATCAACCTGACAAAACTCAAATCAATCTATTTTCTAACTTAAATCTATTCCCCTTTGAAATTTGACAAAAATTCAAAGACTTAACTTATGTACAATAATTCTTATGAATTAAAGGTCTAATTTGTCACCTCAATATACTAGGAACCTTTTTCTTCAACTCTCAAGACTTTCTCTAATCTTCGATCCACAAATCGAATAACTTCAAAATCGCCTTGGAACTACTTTATCCTATCGGACACCTCTCTCTTTTGCTGTTATGAAGCTTACCACACTCGTTGCTAACAGAAGTTCACCTCGTTCATCTTCACTTGAGGTTCAGACTTTATACTGTGAGGTGACGTCACAATTCTGAGAGCGATCACCCCCCTCATTTACATACTTATTGGCTAACAATAAACTTTCTGTTTGTCTGGCAGCTTACTTTCCGACAATACTCGCTAACCTTTTACATTATTCTTTTTGACAATTTTCAGAATGTTTTTATTCTTTAAGGTTTAGCAAGGTCCTAAGTTATGCTTGTGGGATCTCCCTCCCCCCTTTTCTCGGTGCGGACTTACTTTTTTCCGCTCGAGAGCGCAAGTGTGCGCGAGTTTTATCTACGGCGCTTTTTCTCGTCAGTGAGTTGGTTTCTCTTCTATTTTTAAGTTTCTAAGGTGATTGGTGAGGAAACCTTCGTCCTAACAAAACATAAACCCCAAACAAAAATAGAATAAGAAGCAAATATAAAAGTAAATAAAAATAATGCTCGGACTTGGTTCCTTACACTGATGACAACAAAAACAGTATCAAGCCTTGTAAAATCATTAGAATCGCCAGTAAAAAAGACTGTAAATGAAATGCTACTAAATCCATATTATATTTAATGGGTTACTCTTAATCTCAATCTGGCAAAACCGGTCAGATCTAGATAGTTGTCATGTTCTAAGGTCATGAAACTGAAAAAGATGTCACATAAGATGACATTTTCTGAATCTTGAATATGAAAAATTATATGGTGATGGTAAATTGAAAAGTCAGTTAGTATCTAAGTTAATGTCTGATACTATAAGACTTAACAAGTGATCAGAGTGACTTGCATAGGTCTGTGACTTGAAACAGAGTTAAATTGAATTCCAGATGGTTCTATTCAAAAAACAAGTAGCAGCTAAAGAGAATTTTTTAGTTCTTGAAAAAAGTAAATTAAAAGAAAAGAATTGTTTGCTGACTTTTTGGGTGTCAAAATGCATGATAAAACTTATTTGAAGATAGTTACTCTCCTAAATGAAGATTTGAAACAACACAATCACTAAGGATGCAAAACTCCAAAGCAGGTATAGCATGAAAATTAATGACCTTTCAAACACTATCAAACAATAGCAAATCAGTATAAGAATGGGAACACAGCAGAAGCTGTTCTTCAGGTTAAGCCTTAATCCTCTCCCTCTCCCCCGGGGAAATTTTGAAAAATCCCTTCTTAGTGTGCGTTTTCATGATGTATCCTAACTGTGGACCAAATTTCACCTATTTAGGTTCAGCAGTTTGCTCTGGCAATGATGAATCAATCACTCAGTCAGTCAGGACAAGTAATTTTATATATTTAGACTAGTATGTATCAAGTTTATAAAAGGAAATTATTTAGCCACAGTGTGACATAATAGGAAATTAGAGAGCCACAGTAAAGATTAGAAGAGGTAAAATTTTAGAATGCTGATATAGTTGGAACCTTACCAAAGTTGTAGACAATGCCCAGAGAAGTAAAAAAAAGTTGAAGGAAATGATGATCTACTAGATATAGCCCCCAAAATCAGTTTATTAAGCATGTGCACAACTCCAATCGTGCCCCAGTAGTAGCAGTGTAATGGCATCTTATAATATAATGGAGACGGGTTGATGATAATAATAAGAGCCCAAACGGTTAGGAATTGGAAGTTGAAATTTGGTAGAGTTAGGGTTTGCCACAAGAATGCACACTAAGAAGGGTTTTTTTGAAATTTCCACCATGGGAAGAGGATTAAGGATTACCCCACAGATCTCTGCTTCTACTGTACTACTTTAGGCAGAGCCGGCCCTACCATAGGGAGAACGGAGCATCCGCTCCAGGCACTAAGTCTTAGGGGGCGCCTCAGTGGTAAAGAAAATTAAAGGGTATAAATTAGGGTCAACCAAAGGGGGCGCCATAATAGGATCTCGCTCCATCCTAAAACTTGCCTCGGGCCGGCATTGACTTTAGGTGTGGGAAATTGAACATCTAAAAATTTTCTAATTACCTTGGAAAAGAGGGAACTTAATTCTTGCACTTGGTGAAAATGGGTAAGATCAACTATAATCTAATAATCTTAATCTTTGCCATCGTTACTTTTTGCCCAAGCAATGCTGTGCTCATCTGCTAGTTTCTTATATTTTACAAGCTTTTAGCCATCTTTTGTAAGAGGAAAGCAGTTGATTTTTAGCATCATTTTGAGAAATACTTCTGTATCTATCTTTTCACTTTTAAATTCTACCCATTTTCAAGAGCCTTCCAAATTTCAGTTAGACCGATTTCGGGAAGACTATATCTGGCCAAGGGTCACAAATAGACCCTCGGTTCCTCCGACATTTTTTATTCCTACAGGCCAAGTCTATGACCACAATAAGGTCCCAACCACCTCATTCAGAGCTGCATTTGCACCACTCACAAGTCACAGTGGCCGTTTATAGCGTATATTTTTGTCAAATAACATATGCACAGATAATTGTGCATGCAAATATATAAAGTCAAACCTGTCTATAACGGAACTCCAAGGGATCAAATAACTTCCATAGTAAGCAGTTTCCGCTATATACAGGTTTGACTGTACTTAAACTACAGAATGTTAATTGATAGGAATTAATATATAGTTGTACGTACCTCTCCGAACCGAAATGCAGAAACAGATAATAAAACGAATCCAACGAAACATAGCACTAAATATCTTTTCTGAGAAAGGATATCGTACGTTCGTTTTTGTAACAATTTACAAAGCAGAGATTTTGACATTTTATTCAAAACATTTCAATTATAAAGTAATTAATGGATTAATTTGCAAGTTACAGAAAGTAAAATTACATATATTTTTAAAAGATAAACATTACGTTCGGTTTAATTTATAATTAAAAATTAAATATATTTAGCTCATTTTAATTTAACTTCTCAAAACATTTTTCATGTTACTACACATGCCGCACTTTAATTCGATTCAAGCGCCACATATTGGAAGTATACAAAATATATACAGTATATATATATATATACTCTAAAACATAAAAATAGAAAACAAAATTAATATTTTTATATTTATTTATTTTTATAATATATATGTGCGTGTATTATAAAAAAATAATATATTATATATTGGGTTCGCCCAAGCCCACAATGGGACGGGTGAATGAAGACGAACGAGACTCGACATAATGTATTCGGACGGACCGTTCCTCGAAAATTTCCAGGCTTTTTCGACCAGATTCGATTCCGGTAACCAGAACCATCGGTTGATATCTTAGACGCTCGGCCCTCCTGCCTTCGAGGCTTGTACACACTAAAGGCTTCTTCAGGTTTAAGTCTATGATTACGGAAAATCAGAGGTGATAGAAAAATTTCAATCCCATATTTTAAATCAGTACAAAAAGTTCTGTTAGACACAATATCACTCTTCTGTGTGCCAAAAATCATGTTGACCAGAGTTATAAACCCAATACACGCGAGTTAGATCGCATCAATTGACTGGCGCCCTGCTAACCGGAAAGTACCGAAAAGTGACATTTTTCTTTTTTTCCGTGCAGATTCGTCGACAGCGATGATCCCGAGGCCCACAGTCAAAATATCGAGTGTAGAATCGCTGGCTGAAGAAGTCCATCAAGTCGCTCCGCACGGACAGAAGCCTGCAGAGTTACGCTTGCACATAGGTACGTGTACAGTACGCGGTTCCTGTCCCAGTTGCCAACAACATCGGCAAAGTTCCGGCAGTTTATCGGGGCATTCGTGGCCGTCTACCCGGGCCTCGGTCGCCAGGGTCTCCAACTCCAGACGATCGGTGTGCCCGTGGATCAACATCTGCGCCTGACGAGCCCTATTTCGATGTTCCCATGCACGAGGGCGACGAAGGAGCAGGAGGATGACAACTGCCCAGTGAGTAGGCAGCTTGTATATAGTGCGTGTGACCAAAGGATACTTCTTTGCGGATGTGAAACCTGGATTATGTGATTTTTCAGACAACATCGGGCGCCAACACAACCTTTGTCATTGACCCTCAGGACCTAGCCGAGGCGGGAACCAGTAGCCTCACCCCCTTCTCATCTACACAACATTAGGAATAGGCTAAGCGTCGCCAGGTAGCGAGAGGACGTCGCGGGAGACGCGGGAGGGGACGCTGTTGAAGATGAGTGTACAATTTGTTTTCTTGGCCTTTTACATGGGCAATTTTCTTCAGTCCGTAGAAAACTTCCGTACGTACGAAATCGTCTTATTTGATATTGTTTCTTGGTAATGTTGTCGTTGTTATAATAACAGTTTTCGTAATCCGTATTTTTTCCGAAGACTTTACATTAGTTTCTGCAGCCATCACAACCTATCTAAAACGGATCACTTTTTCGAAAATCAAGCTATTTGGAAACCAACCTCTCAAACATAATACTGTACAGTAATAAACTCTGTTAGAGGGAATTACAATGTTTAAAACATAAACACCATTCCTATAATTTGATAAACTCATTTTTTAGTAACTAAAATCTTCATTTCAATAGCTGTTTTCGCTTCGATACTAGTATTTCGGGCTTTTTTTAAAATATTAAATGTAATTTTAATAAAGTCCAAGCATATATAAACAGAATTTTTAATACAGTACTTTTTTTTTTTTGGCTTACTGCGGCTAAGCGGTTCCGTTCTCTGAACACTGGTAGTTCGGTCGTGGGTTTGCGTCTCTCTAGGACGGGCTGGCCACGTAGCGTTTTCTGAGTTTTCTCCACGTCTGTAACGCCTGAAAAGGGGCCACAAAGACCTTTTCGGAAGGCATTCCCTAGGCAAATCGCCCAAGAGTTGCATTGCTGTAATTTAAAAAAACAAACAAATAATACGTATTTTTCTCTTTTCATTCTATGGGCACTAACAGAGCCATTTTAGTAAGCCCATTATAAGTTCGGCCTATTATAGGTTCTGAATATGTAACTCAATGGCACGCCGTCCATGGAAGCTGTGGAAGCGCCGCTTCCCTTGTATCTTATAAAATACTAGCTTACCCGTCGCGCATTGCTGCGATCTCAGAAGAAACGAAATTCAAGCCAACTCGTTATAATAAAATTCAATTTACATTAATAGAAATAATTAGAGATTTTATATACCCCAGCTTTCTCTCCCTTTTTTACGCTATCTTTATCGTTCCATAACAAGCTATAGATATTGGGTGCTTTTTTATAGACCATTCTCGAGTTTTTATAACAAAAAAAGCACACAATATCTATAGCTTGTTATGGAACGATAAAGATAGCGTAAAAAAGTAAGAGAAAGCTGGGATATATAAAATGGAAATATATACAGTAATAGGAAAAAGAATGGGACTTAAAAACCCTTAAATCATGTTTCTTTCTAGTTAGCTTTGTTTTCTATATTTTATTTGTTTCTTTACTTTTTATTTATTTATTTAATATAATTCTTCTTTTAGTTTATTTTAAAATTAAATTTAAAACAAAAATTTTAAATATGTAAAATATTCAAAAACGGTACGTTCCATTTTGGAACATTTACAATATTAAACCTGACGATGGCCTATATTAGATAGGTTGAAAAAGTTTGTAAAAATAAAAGAATTTTAAGCTCAGCAAAATTAGGTGTTGGTGAAACTGAAGTGAATTAGTTGCTAAGAGGTGGATAGATATGAAGTTATATTTTAGCATTTCCTCTCTTTATAAGACATGTTTTTCGATCACCCACATATTCTAAAATGTCACAAAGTGTAATTATCATGACTTAAACGACTACGAAATCAATTAGGNATCACGTACATAAACAGTGTCGTAATTCGCCAAGTGCAAATTCGTAAAATTTTTGTTTATTTTGAACAATCCGGATAATCGACGTTCTACTGTATTTTTATTAAATTGCATATGGACACTGCACCTGCTTTATAAAAAATAAAAGCAAAATTATTTAAATTAACAATATTTCACAGGATTTAACAATACATATAGTTAATATTATTCTTATCGCTATAAAGAATATTCTAAATTACTGGGGGTTTTACTTTCAATAAGAAGAAACATAATACGAGGGCTGTTCAAAAAGTTACCGAATTTTATTTATTACAAAAAAAATACTTCACGTACAATTTATATGTCAGATTCCCCTTGAAAGTAGTCTCCTCCGCAGCATATACACTTCCACTTTTTGAAAGTCCTGGAACGCTTTTTCCAGAAAGCTCATAAGCTCCTCTGTCTTTTTTTTTTCTATCTCTGGAATGGTCGCAAATGTTTTTCCTTTGAGCGCGTTTTTTTAGTTTGTTGGAGAACAGGAAAAAGTCGCACGGGACCAGGTCAGGTGAGTAGCGTGGGTGGGGATGCACAGCGGTCTTGTTTTTGGCCAAAAACTCATGTGTTCTGAGGGACAAATGAGCCGGCGCGTTGTCGCGGTGAAAGAACCACTCGCCGCTCCTCCAAAGTTCGGGTTGTTTTCGCCTGATTTTGTATCTTAGGCGATTCATAACACCGGGTAGTACTCCGTGTTGACTGGTCTGGCCTGTAGGTAGGTTTCCGTGATGCACAACCTCTTTGCATCGAAAAAAAAAACAGTCAACATCACCTTAATTTGAGCGAACATGTCGAGCGTTTTGGGGCGGGAGGCTGTTTCACCACACCCGTGGGAAGTTTCCGTGAAGGATTTTCCGAGTTTCACACAGAATTGCACAGAACAACTGTGTTCTTTCAAAAAGCTGATTTCCGATTTTTCGCCAAATCCAAAAAACACCACTTTACATAAACGGCCGTAACTAATCACCAAAACAAGATATCAACAAACGGGTTGAAGGAGGTTACTCGGGAGGTTTCCGCGGACACAACGCCTCCAAGCAAATTAAAAAATAACCAACTGGAGGCGCGCTATTTAAAAAGTTCGGGAACTTTTTGAACAACCCACGTTCATTTTCTTTAGATTTTAGAATTCAC